ATGCCTGAATACTCTCATGGGCTTTTCAGCCAGATCCGAATGCGCGTTTAGGGCTGATTCTGAGGCCAGAGTGCTGTTTAGGACATCCGCCATTCTATGAGTCTGCTGAGTATCTCGCTTCCCATGTTGGATCACTCTCCTCTTTATTTATTCTATCGGTTAGTATTAGCAGGTACTAGACTTGTTTATGTGCTCCCTTTGACTCTTAGTCCTTTCATTATGATCAATTGTGAACTGAAATTGATCACTTGGACTAGTGAGATGGCATTGGTACATGCCACCTTGATGGGATTAAATTGGAGTCCCCTGGTATGTTTCTAACTCTACCATTTGGGGCAAGTCAGCTTGAGCATGTCCCAAATTGTACATCTCTTCCCTCTCTTATTCCCACTCTTATGTTTAACAGGGATCACATTTCAGTTAAATTTCAGCACTTAAGAATAACTGTGTATTAATTACAGAATTAAACCAGTCATATTAAGTAGAACAGACAAAAAAAACTACTAAGAGGGATAAGGTATTAAGTTGTTCATTAACAGTCAGGGCTATGCTGATCAAGTCACCGTTTCTCATAGTGTCCATTTCACTTCAACAGGTTTCCTTTTTGGTGTTCAGTCAGTTGTCACCGATCAGGGAGAACATATGGTATTTGTCCCTTTGGGACTGGCTTATTTCACTCAGCATGATGTGTTCCAGATTCCTCCATTTTGTTGCAAATGACTGGATTTCGTTGTTTCTTACTGCGGTATAGTATTCTAAAGAGTACATATCCCATAATTTCTTTATCCAGTCTACCGTTGATGGGCATATAGGTTGGTTCCAGGTCTTGGCTATTGTGAATTGTGCTGCAATGAACATTAGGGTGCAGACCGGTTTTTTGTTTGCCAATTTAAATTCCTCTGGGTAAATTCCAAGGAGTGGGATGGCTGAGTCGAATGGTAGGGCTATATTCAGGTTTCTGAGGAATCTCCAGACTGACTTCCATAGTGGCTTGACCAGTTTGCATTCCCACCAACAGTGGGTTAGTGTCCCTTTTTCCCCACATCCTCGCCAGCATCTGTTGTTGGTAGATTTCTGAATGTGAGCCATTCTAACTGGGGTGAGGTGAAACCTCATTGTGGTTTTGATTTGCATTTCCCTGATTGCTAGTGACCTTGAACAGTTTTTCATGTGCCTGTTGGCCATTTGGATTTCCTCTTTTGAAAAATGTCTATTGAGGTCCTTGGCCCATCTCTTAAGTGGGTTGTTGGTTTTGTTTTTGTGGAGTTTCTTGATCTCTTTGTAGATTCTGGTTATTAACCCTTTATCTGTTACAGAGTTTGCAAATATTTTTTCCCATTCTGTCGGTTGTCTCTTCACTCTCCTGACTGTTTCTTTTGCAGTACAGAAACTTCTCAATTTGATGCAATCCCAAGAGTTGATTTTGGCTTTGACTGCCTGTGCCTCCCGGGTCTTTTCCAGAAATTCTTTGCCTGTGCCAATATCTTGAAGGGTTTCTCCAATGTTCTCTAATAACTTGATGGTGTCAGGTCGTAGATTTAGGTCTTTAATCCATGTTGAGTGGATTTTTGTGTAAGGTGTAAGGTAGGGGTCTTGCTTCATGCTTCTGCACGTGGAAATCCAGTTTTCCCAGCACCATTTATTGAATAGACTTTCCTTGCTCCAGGAATTGGTTTTAGATCCTTGATCAAATATAAGTTGGCTGTAGATGTTTGGGTTGATTTCTGGTGTTTCAATTCTGTTCCATTGGTCTATCCACCTGTTTCCGTACCAGTACCATGCTGTTTTGATTACAACTGCCCTGTAGTATGTCCTGAAATCTGGTATTGTGATGCCTCCAGCTTTGTTTTTGTTGTACAAGATTGCTTTAGCAATTCGAGGTCTCTTGTGCCTCCATATAAATTTCAGCACCATTTTTTCCAGATCTGAGAAGAAGGTCTTTGGTATCTTGATTGGTATTGCATTGAATCTATAAATTGCTTTTGGGAGAATGGACATTTTGATCATATTGATTCTTCCAATCCATGAGCATGGAAGATTTTTCCATTTCTTGGTATCCTCTTCTATTTCTTTCTTTAAGGTTTTGTAATTTTCATCATAGAGATCTTGAACGTCCTTGGTTAAGTTTATTCCAAGGTATTTGATTGTTTTTGTAGCTATTGTGAATGGGATTGATCTTAGAAGTTCTTTCTCAGCCATGGCATTGTCTGTGTATACAAAGGCTGTTGATTTTTGTGCATTGATTTTATACCCTGCTACTTTGCCAAAATCTTCTATGAGTTCCAATAGTCTCTTAGTAGAGTTCTTTGGGTCCCCTAAATAAAGAATCATATCATCTGCAAAGAGGGATAGTTTGAGTTCTTCCTTCCCAATTTGTATCCCTTTAATTTCTTTTTCTTGCCTAATAGCTCTGGCTAGAACTTCCAGAACTATATTGAATAGCAGTGGTGAGCTTCCTGTTAATGCACACCATGGCAGGTAGTGGTTGCTGGCTCAAGGAGTTGGGCCCCTGCCACCCACTTGGGAAACTTGAGTTAAGCTTTTGTCTCCTGGATTTAGCCTCACTCACCTCTGGCTGTTAAGGGAATTGGGAAATGAACCAGCTGATGGGACATCTTTCTCTCTCAGATAAGCATAAATTAATTACTTAATTAATTAAAAAAGAAAACCTAGGGCCATTCACAGCACTTTCTTGTCCCTGCCTCCACATTCAGTCAGTTATTAAATTATGTCATTTCATCCCAGAAGACCTTTCAACTCTGGCCCTGCCTGGAAGCCGCCTCTTCTGGACTTCTACAACAGCAGTGTAATGGATCGCTCTGGTTCTGAGACTCTTGTATTTCAGTGCGCTTTCTGTAGGTTGTCTTTCTACAGCACATCTGTAAATACAAACGACTCCGCCACGCCTAGGAACTGTCACCAGCAGTCTCCAACATGAGTTCAAACTCATTAGATGGTGCTCCCTTCGGCAGCACATATACTGAAATTGGAACAATACAAAGAAGATCAGCATGGTCCCTGTACAAGGATGACACACAAATTCTTGAAGCGTTCCATATTTTTTGTAAATAAAGATTGCTTGCTTTGTAAAAAAATAAAAAAATAAAAAAAACTCATCAGATGGTCCCCAGGGTGCTTTATACAAAGTTTCTGAAGCTTCTTCAGCCATTTCTGCCCCTTCCTGTCATGGGCCTTATTCTAGCTCTACCAGAGCTTCAGGCTCCGAGGCCTTTGTACATGCTATTTTCTTATCCTCCAGTGCCACACCCTGGCCTTTCTCTACTTGATAAATTGCTGTTCGTTTTTCAACACCCAACTCAAATACTGCCACCTCTATCACTTGTGGCCTGTTTCCTAGTAAAAACATCTTTCTTTTTCTCTCTGAGCAATAAAAGAAATCTCTGTCCTTTCATTTGCCTCTACATAATTTAATTTTCATAACTCTAGTAGAAATTCTATCACTTGAACAAACAAGTAAATACTCAGTCTTGGAGGCAAATTCAAGTTTGAGATTTTCCTACTCCCTCCTACAAACTGGTACCAGGAATGATATCTTAAAAAAGCAATGGAAACATACAAAATAACATTTTAATAATTATTCCTAGAAAGCATCTCATTCCAGAAAATCCAAATTTACTGAGTAACTGTGTTGGTATAGGAGAGAAATTTGTTTCAAATTTCAGCAACCTGGTGGGAAATCTTTCTTTCTTTTTTTTTTTTAAGGTTTATTTATTTATTTGAAAGTCAAAGTTACACAGAGAGAAGGAGAGGCAGAGAGAGAGAGAGAGAGAGAGAGGTCTTCCATCTGCTGGTTCACTCCCCAACTGGCTGCAATGGCAGGAGTTGTGCTGATCCGAAGCCAGGAGCCAGGAGCCAGGAGCTTCTTCTAGGTCTCCCACAAGAGTGCAGGAGCCCAAAGATTTAGGCCATCTTCTACTGCTTTCCCAGGCCATAGCAGAGAGCTGGATTGGAAGAGGAGCAGCCAGGTCTCAAACCAGCCCGCATATGGGATTCCGGCACTGCAGTCAACAGCTTTACCCATTAGGCCACAGAGCCAGCCCTGGGAAATCTTTCTTAAAGCATCACTGAGCTCTTAATTTTTGTTGTTTCGTCTGGGACCATTTCTTTCCAAAACACATGTAATTCTGCCTTTCCGTTCCTGCTTGTGTATATCTGTCAAATTGTGTTTGCCAGGCTCTCTGGGTCCCTTGACAGGCAGGCAATGATATATTATGCCTCAGATTCACTGTTATCTTGAGTGTTAGAGTATTGCAAATGGAGCCTTGAAAAAAAAATTTTTGCTAAAAGAAGGTCTCGAGTAATTCCACTATTTGTGTAAGATATATGAAAGTAGAGATAAAAGAGAATGTTGATCAATAACTTCATTTTTCATCATTATGAAGAACAATCAAACCTGGTTAAGCAACTCTGTGCTGAAAAGGATTTGGAGAAAACAAGCCCAAAAGAAGAATGGAACTCAGAAGGTGCTAGTAACATGTTGCGCTGTAATGACCTCATGTCTCATTTAGAAATATCACTAGTCCTTGTTCAGTGTTCAGATGGAAGCAATTTAGCAATAACAATGTAAAAGCCCTTGTGCTTATGGTGTGTTCATTCAGTCATGGCAGTTAGGCCTGGAAGGGACCAACCTGCTCATTGAAAGATGAGAACCAGATTGCAAATGGTTAGAAGCACAGGGCTAGGCCTTGCAGAGCCATGCTCAGGGCCAGTGTCTTGTGAGGACACAGTGGCTCCCATACCACACTGGCTTCATGGTTTCCTTGGCAGATAAGGCCCAAGTGAAGGACTTGCCCTAAAACCATTAAACAACGAAGCACACTTTTCTCACTCATCAAGTGTTCTGTAGGGAGATGCATCATAATTGGCTTTCTTTTCTACATCTCAAAAAGAACATGCACACATGTGTGTTTTTTTCTTAAATTCTTTTTCATTTTATTTGAGGGGAGGGAAAGGGAGTGAGAAAGAATAAGAGGGAGGAAAAGGAGGAGGAGAATAAAGTGGGGGAGAGAGAGGTCTTCTATCTTCTGTTTTACCCCCAAATCCCAAATCTCTGCACCAGCCAGGACTGGGCCAGGTCAAAGCCAGAAGCTTGGAACTGAGTCTGAGTCTCCCACGTGGGTGGCAGGAACTCAAGTACTTGAGCTCCAAGGCAATCTCTGTTGTCTCCAAGGTGTGTATTAGCAGGAAGCTGGAATGGGAAGCAGAGCTAAGACTTGAACCCAGGTGTCCTGACACGGGTTGTGTGCATCCCAAATGCAATATTTTTTCTGAAAGATTTTATTTATTTATTTGAGGGGTAGAGTTACAGGCAGAGAGAGACACACACACAGAGAGAAAGGTCTTCCTTCCATTTGTTCACTCCCCAAACAGCTGAAGCCAGAAGCCAGGAGCTTCTTCTGGGTGTCCCACGTGGGTACAGAGGCCTAAGTGCTTGGGCCATCTTCTACTGCCCTCCCAGGCCACAGCAGAGAGCTGGATGGGAAGAGGAGCAGACTAGAACCGGCACCCATATGGGATGCCGGCACCTCAGGCAGAAGATTAACCTACTGCACCATAGTGCCAGCCCCACAAATGGAATCTTACCACTGCACACACGCCTGCCACCATGAGTATCCTTCTCACTCGTGGAAGACTGCATCCACAGATGAAGACATTGAATCCTCAGAGGTGCCTGGGGAATTGTAAGCTTCCAGGTTTATTCAATTATGTTCTCTTTCCGCCCACACTTCTTGTCTCAAATTCCTGGAAAATGCTTAATAATGCTTATCCATGCGGACTTATTCTGGGATGTAATTTTGCTTTAGGGGTCCCAATGGGTTTGAATAAAAACCAACCCCACCCATCCATGTCGGAAAAGGTTTTTCATGGGTCACCAGGTCAAATAATAGCAATGGGTCACTGGGTCAAATACCCCCCCTACACATTTTTCTCACATTAAAAAATAATCATTCATCATGCAGCAGCAACTCATCACGCTTCAGCTGTTGCAATGCTCCTTTTAGGCACAGGTGCCCCAGAAGACTTCAAGATGCAAAACTATTAATGCTCATATGCCAAGACCCTGAAGGCCACGTGAGAGGCAGAGCTGGCTCTGTAGGTATGTGATCAGTGTGATGTATAGGGCCCACGCTCAGAAGAGAAACCCACACATGGGGTTTTAGTGTTTTGTAGTCATCATCCTGAAATTCTTAATGGTCTGATTTTGGAATTTTTGTTTTGTAAATGAAGTCCAATGGGACAATGGAGCATGTACTGGGGACTGGAGCCTTGGCTACGTCTGGTCTGGCTTCCTCAACTCTCCCCACCTCCCTGGTTGTGCTCTTGACCACCGCTCCCCTACCTCCATAGGTGGAAGCTGGCTGTGGGTGCAGGAAGGGTCAAGGTCGGGCACCTACACCTGCACACTGTTGCTGCATGAGGTCCCAGATGCCTTTGAGGATTTTCACTCATCTTGCAACTATCCTGTGCCCAAAGGAGGGTGTGATGTTAAAGAACAAATCAAAAATACATAACAGGTTGAGAGAAAGAACATACAGATAACAGGAACAAGATTCTTTTTCTGTCTGAACAGGGAGTGCCATATTCCCATTTTTGCACTAGTCTCTGCAAATTATTTAACAGCACTGATGGGATGCAAGACACACGCATAGTATGGATGTAGCCACATAAGGTAAGAAGGAGGTGAAGTTACGAAAGGCTTTGTAACTTGTTAAGGTCTCATGACAGACAGGAACGGAAGGGTGGACTCACATTACCCTGGGGCTGGGCTCCTTCCCTTATGCCTTGCAGCTTCTCCAGAGGAGCAGCAGATACAGTGAGAGGAATGTGACTTTTCTACGCGGGAGTATGGAGAGGTGTCACGCGGCAGATGAACCTTTGCCTGGGCCGTAGGACAGACTTAGACACGTAAGGTGGAAGTGCTCTGGCCTCCAGCCTAGCAGCAGAGCCAGGAGGTGTGAACTGGGAAGGGGAGTGGAGTGGCTGTGAGGACTCAGAACATTCCTAACATTCTCAGATTCGCCTTGCTGATGACTAAATAGCTCATTGAATCGCAAGTAGATAGAGAAAACTGAGTCACAGTTGTCCAGCTTATCAAGCACTCACTTGCCACACTGCGGGCTTGAGATATTACAGGGATCTAATCTTCTCCAGTAGCCACCTGCATCTGCCCTTTCTCCTCGGCCCCACACTTCCCTGCATGTCTGACGACTCCTTTCTCTGTCCCACACCCATGTGTCAAACATCCATGAACTCCTCCCAGTAAATTAATATTTTAGTTGCTGACCACATGTGTGTCTCTAGGAAAAAAAAACACATCTCACTGTTTTCATAACTGACACAGCTTTACATTTGATTTGATCTCGACATGAGGTAATATTAGGCATGGAATGCATAAAAGGAGAAATAGAAGCATGGATGTATGTTTTAAAATCGCAAGTATGTTTTATTGTTTACAGTACTAACGGTTCATCTTAACACTGATTGCTTGTATATATGGATGATGCACTGGGGGCCTCCCTGCACACCTACCAGGGTGTGAATTTCTCACTAGGGACCTCACACTCCCTGTCTCTGGCGTACTGTCTCATGACTAGGGTTCGGTTAAGAATGACCTCAACTGAACTGCAGGTGCAGAATAGCTCCTACCCTTATTGGCCACTTTCCTCAAATCTAGAAGGGGCCAAACATTTCCCAGGAACTCCCTCTCTTTTCCTGAGTGGGAGTTAAAAAAGAAAAGAATTTTAATCAGAAACGAATTCTCTTAAATCTATAGTATTATCAGTAGAGTACATTGGTCCTTACCTGTAGGAGCTTCTTCCCTCTTCCCCACTCAATGCTCCAGTGCTTGTCAGTCTATCCGAGTCCTCTGTGTCACTTTCACTCTGAATTTAACTGCATATCACGCTGGACAATTAGAAGGTGCCAGATTCTTGCACCTTCTCTCTCCTTCTTCCAACCTCTACCTTCATCCAACTTTCATTCCCTCCTATTTTGAAGGAACGTGTTCCTATGTGGTGTCCATGACAAATACCTCCGTCTCT